AAAAAGAAAAAGGTAACAGGACCCAGAATAGCCAAAATAATGTTGGAAAGAAGAACAAAGTCAAAGGACTTGCCTACCGGGTTTCAAAACTTGCCCCGAACGAAGACAGTATGGTACTGGCAGAGGGACTGACCTATAGGTCAGTGAACCATGATTAAGAATCCAGAAATAAGTGAATACATTTCTGTAATGAGTCGATTTTTGACAAGGGTGCCAAAACCATTCAGTGGGGAAAGAAGGGTCTCTTCAACAAATGGTGCTGGGACAACTAGCTATTCACATGCAAAAGAAAGCCGCTGAACCCCCGTCCTCACACCATACACAAAAAATTACCTCAAAGTGGGTCACAGGCCTGACCCGAAAGCGGGCAGGCCCGATGGGGGTCAGCAACGAGAGCGAGCGACAGGAGAACACGGCACGCACAGCCACGCTGAGGCCTCCCCTCTCCACTCCGACTGCTGCGTTTCCTGCCACCGCTGACCCCCGAGGATCATCTACCCTTGGGTACAGGTTAAAAAGCAAGTAGCAACTGGTCAGGCGAAGAACGGCACTGAAGCATTTCCAGCCAACAGGTGCTTTGGAGGATTTCGGTAAGGTTTTGAACATGACAGTGTTGAACTGAACTGCAAAACGAAACTTGCTGTCTACTTACCACCAAAGGCAGAAACCGGAAAATGCCCTAGTTTAACTCGAACAGAACCAAATTTTGTATGAAAGTCTGGTTATCATCAAGCTGCTTCAGAACATGGCCTTGTCGTCACTGTCCCAGATATCAGCCCTCGTGGCTGCAATAAAGGAGGAGGTGAGGGCTGGGACTCTGGCACTGGCGCTGGGTTCCGTGGGGATGCCACCGAGGAGCCCTGGAAAACTAGCGACAGAACGTTCTCTTCTGTTACTAAGGAGCTTCCCCAACTCGTAAAGGCTAGTTTTCCGGTGGACCCCCAAAGGGTGTCTATTTTTGGCTACTCCATTGGAGGCCATGGAGCTCTGATTTGTGCTTGGAGGAATCCTGGAAAACATAAATCTGTGTCAGCATTTGCTCTAGTTTGCAACACAGTGCTCTGTCCTTGGGGCAAAAGATCAAAGTAAATGGAAGGCTTATGATGCGAGCCACCTTGTGGAGTCCTATCCAGTCCTATCCTATCCAGGTTCTCAGCTGGACAAACTAACGGATCAGGGAAAAGACCGGTTCCTTTCAGATGGGCAGTTACTACCTGATGACTTCATAGCTGTCTGTACAGAAAAGACAGTCCCTGTTGTTTTTAATTACAAGAGGTTTATGATCACAGCTACTACTTCACTGCCCGTCAGACATCCTGCAAAATTACGTGAACGCATGAAATCTTCAGGTAAGAGAATTTCTTCAGGATTATAAAATTGTTATGAACAGATTTGCAGGGGAAAAGGATCTGAAAACTTTGGATTGCACAGCGCTAAAAATGCACAGTTGAATCCTAATTGGATCACTTTCTGAATAAATCTATAAAACCTGAAAAAAATGGTTCACAGGCTGACACATAAGAGCTAAGAGTATAAGACTCAGAAAAAAACACAAGCAAATCTTTGTGACCCTGGGTTGGGCGATGGTGTCTGAGCTATTACACCAAAATACAAGCAGCAGGAGTAAGAACAGGCCAATTAAACTGTATCAGAATTACTAACACACAGCCGCACACAATACCCAAGAAAGTGAAAAGACCACCCAGAGAATGGGAGAAAGTCTTTGCAAATCGTATTTCTGATACGGGATTTGAGTCCAAAATATAAGAAGAACTCTTATAATTCTTATAATTTGTATTAAGTTATAAGTCATAAGTTATCATAACTTCTAATTCAATGATAAAAAGGCAACCCAATTAAAAAAAAAAAAGGGCAGAAGACTTGAATAGACATTTCTCTGAAGACAATACATAAAAGACAAGTACATGAAGAGACGCTCGACATCCTTAGCAGGAAAACACAAGTCAAAACCACAATGAGACACCACCTCACACTCAGTAGGTTGGCGATCACTGCAAAAGTCAGTAGTAATTTTTTGTTGGCAAGGATGTAGAGAAGAAGGAACTCTCGTAGTCTGCTGGTTGGAAGGTAAAATGGTGCAGTCACTTTGGAAAAGTCTGGCAGTTTCTCAATAGAGTTCTAGGACCCAAAAATTCTACTTCTAGGTATATACTCAAGAGAAATGAAAACATACGTCCACACGAACACTTACATGTGAATGTTTACACCATCATGTGTAATGGTGGAAACAACCAAAATGTCCATCAATTGATGAATGGGTTCAAAACATGTGATCTATCCACACAACAATACTATTCAGCTACAAAATGTGAATAGTGACCCATGCTACAACAGGGACAGCCCTCAGAAACACGCTTGGGGCGCCTGGGCGGCTCAGTCGTTAAAACGTCTGCCTTCGGCTCAGGTCATAATCCCAGGGTCCTGGGATCGAGCCCCGCGCGTCGGGCTCCCTGCTCCACAGGAAGCTTGCTTCTCCCTCTGCCCCTGCCTGGCGCTCCCCCTGCTTGTGCTCTCACTCTGTCAAATAAAATCTTAAAAAAAAAAAAAAAATGATGCTAAATGAAAGAAGGCAGGTACAAAATGCCGCATACTGAAGGATTCCATGTATATGAAATGTGCACAGCAGGAAAATCCAGAGAGACAGGAAGTAAACCGGTGGTTGCCAGGGGCTGGGAGTGGGAGAGCACGCAGGTACTGCTCTTGGGACAAGGTTTCTTTCTGGGGTGATGAAAATGCTCTCAAATCAGAGTGGTGCATACTTTACAAGGGTGAATCTTGGGATACATGAATCCGAATGAAGTCTTTTTAAGAAAGCAATCAGTTGTTTTTTTAAAAACAATTCAAAAGAACCAGTACATGCTTTAAATTACAACAGAGGTGCACTGCTTGAATAAGCGCTCCGTTCGTGCAGGTGGCCGGGCTCGGTGACCTTCTCGGCGCCAGGCTGCGCCGGGCAGACACGGCTGGGAGCGCGCGCGGCCCGTGTGCCACCCGTCACAGGGCGGAGAGGAAAACACTGGAGACCCTGCCACCGGCAGCAGGGACACGTTGGGAGACACTTCTTGGTTCCGTGTGTGTTTGCTCAGGGGACAGCGTGCACACAGTCCCCCCCCACCCCCAGCCCGGGGGGAAATCGCAGGGGTGAGCACACCCGCAGTGTGATGGGCCAGCCCCGCCCTGCGAAACCACCTCCGGCATCTTTGGAAAACACTTCACAAGGTCCCCCAGTAACACGTCCGGGTCTTGCTCCTGCTGGCGGCACCCAATTTGACCAACGGCTTCTAAACAGTTCTGTGTCGTCCGCTCCCCCAAAAATGTTCTTTAATAAACAGCACCTACTATTTGAATGAGCAAAAGGCAAAGAGACACAGTACCACCATTCCAGAACAGGAACGTGTTTATTTAAACGGGCCAGAAGTCCAGGACCACCCGGCCCCATCGGCCAGGACACATCCTACCACTTGTCACGCTTTCCCTTCAGCACATGCACTGCTGGAACACACAGGTGAGAAAACACCTTTAGTGGGAAAGCAGTTCTTACTTCCAATCTATACGTTATACTTTATAGCTTCAATTAAATCAGAAAAATTAACTTGAGGTTACTTGCCTAACACACTAAGTCGAAGGTAACTTTAAACGGGAAAAACATGCAGCACCGGAGGCCCCCTGCGGGCGGCTCGTGGGCGTGACGGACGTCAGGACAAGTCACACGGCATATGACACACACAAACACGACACGATGGCAGAGCCATCGTTCCGAGGTCACTTGAGCTATCGACATATGAAAAACCAATGTGTAGCACCTCACAGATGGACGTCAGATAGCTCGTTACTGGGGAAAGCAAATCCCAGAGGCGACCGTAAGAGCAGACCCTGAGGTGCCACAGCCCGAAACCGGCCGCCCTCCTGCTTTCCTCCCCAGATGGTCACGTAACTCAGGGCGGACTACGCTGAGCCAAAACTGCCAATGAGCAAAGTTCATGGGTAGTACAGGGAAGGTCACTTCTAAGCGCACAGAATCATCCTGAATGTGAGAATGTTGACAACGAAAGGCATAACGGAGGGAAACAGAGGCAGCTTCCGGCCGCTTACAGTCCTTGCGGACAGACCCTGCACTTGACTGCAATGAACACAGAGGGGAAGCGGCGGAGGACGAACATCTTCACGTGTATTTGTCGTAAAGGGTCATCGTGCAAGGGGACCTGGGTCAGAGCATCACCTGCCCGCTTCGGGGGCCAGCGATGCTCACGAGGGGGCCTGGAAGACAGCTCCCCGCTCCCACCGTGCCCAGCGCCTCTCTCTCCTCCTGCCCTTTCAGACTCCAACCCGCCAGCAACACGAGGGGCCTGCAGCCTTGGCCAATGCCAGGGGCCAGCGGTGCTGATGGGAGCGGCCGGGCCTCGGGGAAAGGTGGCAAGCGCTCGGAGCCCCTGCCTGGGGGGGGGGGGGAGGGGGCTGATGGGAGTCGGCCAAAGCGAGAGACTCTTCTAGAATCAGGCTGGGGGGTCAGCTTGCATGCCCGGCGGGGCCTGTGCCGGGAAACTAGCTGGCCCGACACAGCTGCTCGGTGCAGCGCTGAGCGAGAACCGAGGGCGCGCGGCCGTTGTCTGAGGTTTCTCTCGCGGTGCCCGTGGCCCAGGCCGCTCCGAGCCCCGCTCTTCGTAGCTTTGGGTCTGCTTTCGACTCCGGGGACCAAAAGTCGTGATAGTGGACAGCATCTCCCTCCCGCTCCGCAGATGGAGGAGAGCGCCCACCTCAGTGACTCTGCTGCTTCTGTGGGAAATAGGTGTACTTCGTGGGATTGAACTCTTCCCAAATACGCTCAAATTCTTCCAGAAAAAGCCTCACGTACTCCTCATCCTCCATAATCAAAACGTTTTCCCTGTTGTTCTGAATGGCTTGCGTGGTCCAGTTGAGGGAGCCGGTGATCAGCACCTTCTTGTCCACGATGGCAAACTTGTGGTGCATGTAGCCGAGGTCCTGGTCGTGCCGCACCTGGATGCCTGCGGAAAGGGCGAGGCAGCCTTGACCACCGGCGCGCGCTCCCGCGGCCCGCGAGCAGCGACGCCTCCATCTGTTTCTGATTCGGTAGGAAACGGGAAGCCTGTCACCCTCGGGCAGGGGCTGGGGGCAGCGGCGGATGGGGACCAGCCGCCACCGGTGCAGGGGACGGGACGGGGGAACAGAGACAAGCAGACACCGATGTCACACAAGTCGCCTTCCCGCGGAGACAGCCCTGCCCGCGCCCAGCTCTGCCATCTGGGGGAGGTGTGCCCACGCACACTGCTCGAGTACAACCCCACCACCACGGTCCCGTTAGTGCTGCTGGGAGGAGCTGGCCATGAACCCGGCCGGGGTCTCCCCGCCTGCGAGCTCCCGCTCTGCCCACCCCGGCACTGGAACAGCCCTGGAAACCTGGAAACACCGTGCATGCCAGGACTGCACCCCGCTGCCTATGGGGGGTGGGGGGGGGGAATGAGCCTGAAGCAGGAAGACCACAGAAGCCAGGCCCTGGGTGTTTTGGGTGAGGGACTTCGGCGTCACCGGAAGTCAGCCCGGGGCAGGGGCGGGGGCAAGGTCGGGCCTGGTCCCCCCCCCAGTGTGCCTGGAGCCTACCTGCTAAAGCACAAAGAGCCCTGACTGCTACAAAAACGAATTCTCCCTTGCCCTGCCCCTTTGGTTCACCGAAGAGCCTGTAATGGTTGCCTTTTGTTTTCCTGTCTCTCTCCTACTGTTTTCAAACTCCCCTAGGACAGGACCTGTCTGTCCGTCCCCCTCTGCATCAGCCCTGGGTTCATGCCTACCTCCCTGATGAGCTATCTGCTCAGCGAACAAGACCACTGCAAATGGGACTTAAAAGAACAGTTTAAAACAGGCTGCTTTGCAACAGGGTCACCACACTTCACAAATAAAAAAACGGGATGTCCAAAGTAGGATGGGATTTCAGATAAACAAATAATTCTTGAAAATAAATATGTCCCATATTTGGGACATACACCAAAAATTATTCGTGGCTTATCTGAACTTCAAATGTACCTGGGGATTTTGCCCAGCAACCCTGCCTTGAAACCCTCCTATCCCAGGGGACCCAGACGCCACTTTTTACTTCTCACACCCTCCAAACAGCCCACCAGCAAATCCTGTCAGCTGTACCTTCAAAACAGATCTTAATCTGACCATTTGTGGGGCACCTGGGTGGCTCAGTCGGTTAGGTGTCTGACTCCTGATTTCGGCTCAGGCCACGATCTCAGGGTTGTGGGATCGAGCCTGCATCAGGCTCCAGACTTAACATTTCCCCGCCTTCCTCACCTTCTGCCCCTGCCCCCAAAAATCTGACCATTTCTGCCCGCCTCCAACATTACCACAGCCTCTCCCATCCAGCAGAACACACCGCTACACTGAAATTGAGGAGGAAATACAGAACTCATAGGTAAGCCCAGGATCTGAATTTAGACCCTCTTCAAAATCATTCCTACTTCCCGCTTCATCTGTCCCCACCCCAGGGGGAGAAAAAGGCCAGCCAGAGGTTTGGGTCTTCCCCGGTGTGTGCAGCTCGAGGGACAAATTAACTGTTCACCAACTAAACATTTTAGCTGCACTTTTTAGTATATTATTCTTATTCACTTCAAAAGCCCCAGCATGAAATTCACTGGTGCCGTTAAGGTGAAATGCCTTTTTCCTCCTTTAGCCCCTCGGTGGGTTAGCCCCATCTTCGCCATCTTGGGGCTCCTCCTCCCATGCACACAGTCACTGAGAGTCTGCGAGCGGGTGGGCTTGCAGACTTGTTTTTCGAATTCACCCTTCATCTCCTCAGGGCCGTCTGGCTAGGCCACTGTCATTTCAGTCTGCAGGAGTCAAAAACAGCTGCCCGGGCTACATCCCCCGTTCTACCTGCTCTAGGCTTTCCCCCCCCCAGTGTCCCAAGGCCAACACGGGTCATGAGAATGTGGGGAATCAAAGGAGCTCGGTCTCTTCCCCGGTGTCACTGGGCAGGCCCCCAGCCTCCGAGAATCCCCCCAGATCTTCCACCACTGGCTGGGGGACACACAAGCTGCTCACGCCCCGGGGCTCACACTCAGACACCCACAGCACAGAAGCGCACCCACCGGGGGAGGGCAGGTGCTCTCTACAGATGGCCCTGGAGTCTCCGCAGGGTAAAACTATCCTGCCCTCACAAGGCCACCACGGGACATACATGGGATCACGCCCATCCTCAGACCCCTGTAGGATCCGCCTTTGACATTCCCCCCTGGGTGAGATCACGCGCCAGGTGGGGTGTGAGCCCCAGGGCGCTCCGCGGACCTGAGCTCCAAGCCTGGGCTCCCGGCCTCTGTAGCCTGGCCTACCTGCCTTTCGGAGCAGGCCGATCTGCGAGCCGTTGAGAGCCATGTAGTCGCAGTCGGTGATGACCCGGATGCGCACCCCGCGCTGGTGCAGGAGCTGCACCGCACGGCCCAACTGCGGGCTGGAGAAGGCAAAGAGGCAGAGCTCGAGGCTGGCGCGGGCGGCCAACAGGGCGCGCAGCAGCCGGCTGAGCGAGCTCTCGCCGTGGGGGAGGCTGCACGGGCAGCCCGCTGGGGGCCCCGACGGCCCCTCACCCGGGGCCTGCAGCAGGGCCTCGGTGCAGGTCACCTGCGACGGGAAGAAGAGCACCTCGCGCCGCGGCGGCCTCCGCCGCTGTTGCCAGCGCCCGGCCCGCAGCCAGTGCAGCACGGAGGGCAGCGCCTCCAGCGCCAGCGCGAGACCCAAGGTTGCCACGGCCGCCACCTGCCACCGTAACCGCTCCATGCCGCCT